CTGCTGGTGACAGGATACCTGTAGCTAAGCCAGTACATCACTGTTGAATACAGAGACTTCTGTGCTTTTCTAGAGGATGGGTTTGTGACTGCAGAAGGGGCTAGGAAAAAATAGGGGAAAAATCCTAAGAACAGGAACTATGATATGAGAGAGAGAATAGAAAGGGAGAAAAGATAAGACCTTAAACTTTCATATGCCTCAATAAGAAACACTGTACTAAGAACTTGCATCAAACAGTGACATTTTCTTCTGGACTCTCCTCCACTGCCATCAGGACTCCATGGAGAAGTGCTGAATTTGTAAATTTGCTGACAAAAATAAGAGGAAAAGCTGAAGTGCCGAGAACTCATACTAGTTTGGGAAGCAAGTCCCCTGAAGGTGACCTAGCTAGAGAGTTCAGTCACAGTAAAGCACCATAATACACAACATAACATTCAACAGGAGGAGGCAGATGAGAACACAAACGTGTCATTCTACGCCATTATAAAATGTATAAAGAAGATACTAACCCAACTCAGGAAAAGCACGTTTGGTCACCTATTCCTTTCTCTGCTTACAAGAAACAGCAACAAAAATCCAGCCCTGTACAGAATTGTGTCTTTAAGACTGTTAGCTAGATACTCAGAAAAAGATCCAAAACAACTTGTAGGCTGAGCACAAAAATGTTATCTTGGAGTTTGCCAAGAAGGTTAACACTGATGACATAAATCTAACTTCTCCAGAGCTGCAGAAATCACACTACTTGGGAGGCCCAAGTCCAGAATCACTTGGAAACCTACACGATCTCCTTTTTCGTTAGGGCTTTAGTTAGCACATTAGCAGAAGTGCTATGTCAATATACAAGCAGTATTATGCACAGTCAGTAGAAATGTTTTTTTGGAAGAAAATTATTGCTTAACCATGGCACATACAACCTGTTTATTTTTTCAGGCACCTAAGTATCTTTGATTTGGACCATAGTTCTACTTTCTTGGGACATCTAGTGTCAGAATTTGGACTAGCTTTACAAAGAAAAACCCCATCAAGTATCAGTGAATAGTTTAAGCTACTCCCTTTCAGGGTACGACAAACAACCACAGTACTGTAAAGTATGACAGGGCTGAGACTAAAGCCCCATTTGAAGATTCACTAGCCTGTGAAACAGACTTCTTACGTGATTTTCCTAACTCCAAATTTACTCACTTCTCCAATTCAGAAGAAATACTTTACTACATTTTGCTAGAAGAGCATCAAGTTTAGGACTGACTGAAAATTAGCGATACAGATAAGTACTCGCTTGGACTGACGTGGTTTATTTTGAGACTTGAATCTGTGATGTTCTGTGAACCTATCTAGGTAACACAGTGTCTCGGTTAAGAGGTTTATCTCCAGACTGCTTCCTGACAAGAAAGAAGCACAATTCCTAACACATTACTTAATCAGTGCTTTATCTTACTTAACTCTCAGAACTGTACAATTCCTTCTGTTCTTCTGCAACTTAACTGTCTCCATGAAAACCTAATGCACTGACAAGGTTAAGAAAAATACTGTATCTTATTGCAAGAGAGAACATATATACATGTATTTAGCGGTTGTATTTTTCTCCTATAGAATACTGCACTTGGCCCTATCCATTCTCACCAGATATAACCCCATCCTAAAAAAAGTCAGCTCACCAGAGGCAAGACTCAGTGATTGAAGGGCAGAATTCAGTCTCACTTCCAAATACTATCACTGGCCTTAACATAACACACTATACAACTCCAGCCAAATTAGTTTCTTTGTTCCTTAAAATTAGGAAAAAATAACTGCTACTTCACAAAGAGCTTCAAAACTAGTTTTTGTAAAGTGCTTTTGAGTTCCTCAGATGATGAACATAGTCATATTGCATAAAACAGAAACTGGGAGGTGACCTGATTATTTTTCCTTTAAGTAAGAATAAATATGAAAATAAAATTGTTAGATGAAAATTGTGTTTAATTACAGTGGTAGATACCAAGCCACTCCTGAAATTGAGTGTATCAGTGCTACTGAGCAATACACCAAATCTACGCAGAGATCATTTACTCTATTTTGATTCCAGTATAATTTCTTCCAACACATCCTTTGCTTAACCCAAATCTACTTACCCAAAACACAATACAGGCTATACTTAGTTTTGTATTATTACTTAAAAGTAAAAAACATGTTCTTAAACATTTTGGCTTCAAGAAAAGACAGCTCGTGAATCCAGTGACAGTCTCAAATTATGAACTTCTTCAGTTTCCAATGTCCTATCACCACTGATCTCAAACTCTTCCACAGATCAAGCCGAATCTATGTTTAAAGTTCAAAATACAAAAGATACGAATTATGTTTTTATAAAAATGTAAAAAGCTAGTCAAAATTACATGTTTAGATATTTAATCTCTGAAGAATGGAGTATAGCAGCAGGAACTTAAATATAATAAGAACTATCAACAATAAATACAAGAAATTAGTGCAAAGATTGCAATAGAAGGATTCTTGAGTACAATGAGAATATAAAGAGACATTCTAATTTGTACAAAAACCATCCCAACTCTGTATACAATCTCTTCTATAAATACAACCATATAAGATGAAATGCTTATTTGCAAATAATAGTTATTAAAAAGTGTGCTTTATTGGGTTTTTCACTCAATCTCTTGGCAGGTGTAGTTCGCAGGAATTCTGTAAAGACAAATTTCCATAATTAGATATTTTAACTCCTCCAAAAGTCATGTTTTAAATACAACTAACAACAGATGCAGTACATACTTGATTTCCGTAGAAAGCATTACTAGAACACTAAGCATTGCAAGAAATCCATTTGCAGTTAGCAATTTGTAAGTGTGTGACAATGAGGGAAACAGTAAAAAGTTCTCCATAAATAGTAAAACAGCAGTTTACCTATAGCGGAGCATGAAATTGGCTGTGCATTGCTATTGCCTGTTGAAGTTTTTCCTCTTTGGCTCGTCTACAGTGGCAGAGCTACAACACAAGACATAGGAAGAGTGAATTCTGAACAGAATTTTTTAAAATGCGTGCTACAGTTTCTCTTTAACGATTTAGCTACTTCATGGGCTCTTTACAAAAGGAAAACCGTGTGAACCACCTCCCTTCCAAGCTTCAGGCTGAACGGCTGTCTCTACTGATAACGTTATTCCATCCACAACTGCTTACAAGAGAAAAGAATTTTTTCCTGTGTTATGAAATGCATTTATCAGGCATCTTTAAAGAAAGGTACACTATCTGCTAAGTTGCTCTTGTCACAGCATGAGCAAGAATGGTGGTTTTTGAACCTCAGTTACTTATTTGGTAATAGCCATCAACAGAATAATTAGTTTAATTGATAAATTAAACATTAGGGTTGCTTAATATAACATCATTCTATGTCAACTGACAAATTTAAAATTGTCCATGTGGCTATCTTCTCTATATCTGTAGAGGATATAGAAGAAAGTGGCACAAAAATACCTGCAACAACACACAACTAGGGTCTAATGCAAGGCAATCTTTGTACTGCCGCCTTAAAAATATGTGCCATCAGAATGCCGATTATATTCTAAACAGACTGAAGGCACTTAGGGATATAGTTTTCTTCTGTTGGAGCTTACTAAAGCACTGTTCTGTATCACAGGACTGCTCAACTCAGTCTTAAATTTATTCACTATGTGTTTTATATCTCTCAGATTAGAATGATTTCGGTATTACATACTGTTCTCTTTTCCATGAAACTACTAAGAAAGTCATCTATTTCTGTTTTGCCTTCCAAGAAGTCCTCTGCAATAGTGTCAGATTCCTCTTCAGCTTCATGAGCAGCTACTTTAAGTCTGGCTTGCAGAGCACTTGGACTGCAACTCTAAAAAAATAGAAACTCCTATGTAATATTAAACTGTGCATCGAAACCTACATTTCCAAGAAGACAGATAGATAAATGACTATATAAATACGGAATATGTGAATAGAGCATTATTATCACATAAAAGCCTAAGTGACCAGATGAAGTTTCATCTTCAAGAAGCAGCATAGCTTGTTAAACTAGAAAGGATTCAATGTGAGAAAAGAATTGTTAGTTTAGATCTTGATTCACAATCATTCTCACAAGTGCATAAAGCTTTTCAACTTTTATGCTACATCGCAGAAAGCATCAACTTGGAATCTGACCAGTTCTCGGGTGCATGATTTCTAAGTAGAACTAGCGTTTCAAGTGTCTTCAATTAAAAGGGTCTACTTTTGAAACTCAGTAGTGAACCTGAGAAGTATAAGAAGATAAAAAAGCACTTACTGTTCAGCTTTTAAATACCCCTGTGGAGAGGAAGACAGGAAAGGAAAAAGCACCTATTCAAGAAGTAGATGGGCTGCTAATCTAAACCAGTATACTCATTCTTCTGTTCTTATAAACCTCAAACCTTATTTCTGTTTATTGCATATAATTTCATTACTTTTCCTCTAATATGTTTGGGCAGTTAATCAGAACGTGATTCACGTCTTCAGGAGGAGTCTGTACAGAGCCAGAACTGCAAAATTAAGTTATTTTAGATGCTTGTACTACCCTTCATCTATCCCATGAAAAATATTTTACTTACATACTGTAGAACTGCAATGTAATCAGAAATTTCCTGTTAAATTAATCTTGTGCAAAATAAGGAGAGTTTGCTCTAATAAAAAATGACAACAATTCACCCACAGTACAAGTAAAGAGACTTGTCTGGAACTTTGAAGGAGAGATAACAGGAGATACGAGGTAGTGCACAATGAACAATACATGAAGACAGAGCAGAGGTGGAAAAACAGCACAAAAATCCAGCTGCAGCTCCCCAGCTCTCAGCCTCCTAATCATTATAAAATTGAATCAGGAAATCTAACTTAGAAAAAAAAAAATATAGCAGTGGGGTACTATGTCCTGTTCTTAAGTGGTTTCTTAGAGAAATAGAAAGTTTCTCAATGTCAACCACCTCTGCCCACTTTAAAGCCAACTCATATCACACAGAAACGAGGCATTGGGAGTCAGATTACTCTGATTTTCAAGTGAGGAAACATTTAATTCATTTAGATCACCTATGAAATCATTCAGTTTGCTGTCTCAACTTTTTGCTTGTTATTTCATATTTTGTTAATTTTTGGGCATTTTGAAATTCAGGTACTGTGCATGATACTTTGATAGACTGTTGTATTCTCAGGTGACAAGTCTTGCAAATAATGATTTCAGTGCAAAAATTGTTTTGTCAGGAGTTACATCTTCTAATACATGTCCTGGTAAACATACTGAGAAATTATTCTCCTTCCCCAGATTGCTTTCTGAAGTAACAACTTTACCCTGTTCACACTTCGGAATGCGTGAAGTTTGACAGCACATATAACGTGTTGCCCAAAGCAAGCATACTCAGTCAATCTCAGAATTTAAGTTTCTAAAGCAATGGTTTTAAGCATTTTCATCTGGCAGTTTTTTTACAAGCTCATTATGTTAAATGAGTACCATGAATTAAACAAGCCTTCTTTAAAAATCATTCTATTCTTAAAACTGGCTTGACCCAGGACTGTACTTAAGAACAGCTCTAAATACTCATCACACTCCCTTCTTCCAACTTTGCTTCTATTGTAGCGTTACAAAAACACAACACCCAACCAAAAAATATAGTAGTGCAATTGTAACACTATTTTGCTTTCAAACTGCTACTTCATCTCATTTTATTTCATACTTGATAAGAATCTATTTCATATAAAATTAGAGTTTAACCAGAAGAATATTCTTTATGGATGAAGAAACAAACCAATTCTTCAGTTTTATTGAAGTACTCTTAAAGGACAATGTCATATAAAGATTATACCTCACTAAGTTCATGCTGTCTTTGCATCTTTTTTTCAAAGGCTGCTTTCATCTGTGTGAGTTGCTCATACTGGAAGGAAGAAGAAAAAGAACATTTTCCTGCTGAAA